AACTCGACTGGTTTTTATCAGCACTCCAGAAGGACTCAAACGCAAGTCGTGAGTAGCCATGCGACGCTTTCCTCTACACTACAAGGCCACAAGTGCTAATTGGTCACAGAATAGATGAGGCATTTACGGTAGGCCAGACCTCTGAAAACTCGCATTTTAACAGTATATTTTCATCGCAATAAACTACATTACTTATTTTTAATATGAGTAGTAATCATTTATTCATGAATAAAAGCTTAGTTCGTCCAGAATTAGATAAGCTTACGGAGTCAAATATAAATGAAATGTAATTGCATCATAAAAACTTAGTTATCAAGCTTTAAATAACCTCAAGCAACTAGAACTACTCATATAAAAATGTATTGCATTTTGTAAAATAAATCCAGCAAAAAAAACGGGGCTCAAAAACAGAAACTTAATTCGACCAAAGTCTGAAAATACAGGTTTATATAAAAATATAAGCAAATTATGAAGAAGGGTGAATTTCCTTGGTAATTCCCTCTTTATGGCAAGGTTTGATTTCACATGGTAGTGTAAATATGGAGCAGACCTGTCAAACATACAGACGAGATAATCTTAACAGAATGTACCGCCACACTTGAGGAAAATGGTGGAGTATATTTATAATAATCGGGTTTTTCCACTATTAATAGACTTTGAATGAGAACTCTATTTACTATACATTTATATCTTTGATAATCATAATTCAGCCTGACTTGTCATCTTTGTATTTGAATTCTATAGGTCGTTCCGTCAGCTCTGCTGCCTCGTATCAAACCAGACAACCAAGATGCCGTCGATGCTTTGTCTAGCGATATTGGCGCTAACCTGTCACTTGCAGAGTTTTGCTTAACCGCCCGATCGGGTCATCCTCAGACGCATCGGAGGTTGGACGAAGCGCGATTTCACCAGGATGAGCAACAAATATATGCAGATGTTGTGAATACGAGGGGTGCGCAGAAAAATGACTTTGATTATAGGCAACAGGTGGCCGTGGCCGAAAGCCAAAGTAAGTGTGGAAATTCACTTTTGCCATGTTAGCCGGTAGTCCGGATCATAGCTCGAAAGTTAAGCCATTCATGATGTTAGATGGGGCCGATGCGAAGGTGTGACCGCATTAAATCCTGTGCT